ACTATTACTACTATAAACTTTAGTAAGATAATATATAGCGCTTAAATAAATAAACTAAATAAAAATAGCTTCAATAGAGTTACTTTTATATACTAAAGATATACTTAAACAATAATAAAACAATAGTTAGAAGAAATTAGTATAAGAAAAAGCTAAGAAAGTTTTTTAAGTAGTTACTAACTACTTATTTATTCTTTTACTAGCTTTTAAGAATAAAGTAGACTTCTAAAAAGATAATAGTAAATCTAAAAGCATTGTACGCCTTAAATAAGCTTTTAAATTTCTTAATTTTGCTATATATTCAGTAACTTAGTTACGCTAATAATATATTAAAATATCTATTTAAATATTTTAAAAAGTTAGTAAAAGCTGGTTAAAATAGTAAAAATACTCTCTAGATTATTTAAATGTAAACGTTTTATTAAAACTCGCGCTATCAAAGTTTATTACTAAGTTAGCTAGTTAGTAAAATAATAATTAATATCAAAGTAAGCGCTAAGGAAAGTGTTTTTTATTTTGAGTGATAACTGATTTGCTTTAGTATTAGCTAAAAGCCTATGAAAGTATTAGTAGTTTAATTAAGTTAGTAGTAAGCTTGGTAGACTTACTATTGAGCTTAAAAGCTTTGGAGTATTAATTCAAACAAATTCCCAATAAGATACTATTTATATTATAAAAAAGAAATATAAGCTACTATAAAAAGCGTAGATATATACTATAATAGAAATAGTTGAAACAATATATACTATAAAACTATTTTCGTTAGAAACGGTAAAACTGCTCTATAAATAGAAACAATAGCCGCGGCTGTTTGTGTACTCATTTAAAGATTTTTATTAATATCTTTATTAACTTCTACGCGCTAATAATAGGTATAAAAAGCTTACTTTAAGTGCTTGCTGTAATAAAACGTAATTAACACGCCTGGTAATAATATATATAGATAACGTGGTTCACAAGTGAGTCGCTAACCCAAGCGAGTCGCTAACGCCCCACCACTACATCTACATCAACACGTTATTATAGTTTTTTATCACAGTTAATAAACTATTGCGATATACTAAATTAATTATTAGAATCGCTACTATTACTTGCACTATCTATCTCAACTACGTAGGTACGAGCGTTGTGTCTAGTCTGCTTGCAACGCCCGCACCGCCGCTCTCCTCGCACCCTCTTCGACGCACTCTCACCATCACCACGACTGCTACCTGCCTGTTTAGCTAATACTTCTTGTACTTCGCCTACAGTAAGAGTCTCTTCTGTCTGTACGTATCGCCGCTTGCGGCTTTTACGCTTATTTGACTTGTTAAAAGCCGCTTAAAGCGTACCTATTTCCTCTATTATAAGCGTTATTTTATGTGCTATTTGCTAGGCCCCCTTACTTAGCTGCGCGATCTGCTTAGTAAGTGAATTGGCAGAAGACCCACGGCGTTTTCTCACGCTCTCTTAAATAAGACTAATTTAAGACTCAACTTCGCGCGCGTTGCGTGGTGTCTGCGCCTGCTAGGCGGCTACCTGTTGCGGTGATTGTACAGGTGTCTGCACCACCACATCAAGCTTAGATAGCACAGCCTGTGGGTCGTGTGGGACTAGACTAGCGCCTCTAAAGCTAGCTTGGATATTCTCCTTCGTGATAGACTGCTTAAAAGCAGTCTTAAAGGCTGGTAGGAAGGTCTCTTTGCTGATATAGTGGGTGCGGTTGCATGCTAAGCCTGAAATAGCGTCGCCATACTTGCGCTTTAACGGCGAGAAGCAGGCGACGTCAAGGGGCTGCAATAGGTGAGACGAGTGCGCAGGCATGCAGAGAAGCACAATATTCTTCTCCTTGCAAAGATCTTGGAAATCGACAGAGCAGTAGCTCTTATAGCCATTAATAATAAGCAGTTGATACCTGCCCACAGTAGAGCTCTTTGTATAGGTATCAAAGTGCTCTAACTAGGCAAGACTAAGCTAATTATTCGTCTAGCTATTAGGACTGACTTCAAGAACCTAGTTGGCAGGCAAATCCTCAAACTAGACGTTGATAAGCACCTTGCCTGCAAAGACAACGAAGGGTGGTATTCAGCGACCCAACGCGCCCACGCCTTAGATCACAGTAACCCACTTACGGTTGCCTAGCTGTATCCGCTTTTTTTTCCTATATCCTTCTAATGCTATTATAACTAACTATAATAAAATCTTGCCTATTATAAAGCCAGTCTCGTTAAAGTTGTAGATATCGTCGTCCACAATACCCCACTTCTGCCTTGTCGCCTGGACTAAGTCAAACCAGCGCTGGATAGCCACTAGATCCTCGCAGGCGGCTCGCTGGTGATTATAGGGACGGCTCTAGCGCGTACGGAGCTTAGGAGTCCGCTTAACAAAGTTGTCAACCTAGTTCTTGCTAACAGGGTTGCTACCACGCTCCTCTAATAGTTTATTAGCTATTACTTAAACGTTAAGCTTTGTAGGCGCAAATCCTCGCGCAGACTCTTCAAGAATACGCTCAACTATAGCCTCCTCTTCTAGCTTATCTAGACGCTTTAATTTTAGCTCGCAGTTACGTTAAGGGCGCTTTCTAGCGCGTTATTTAGATAGAGTTCTTTGTAGGACGTTGTAGATAGTAGTAGCATAGTTTACACTCTAAACACGTTACGACTAGACGTTAAAAAGAGCAAGTTAAAGATTAGATTTAGAATATATTAATAGATAGTTGCGTTGTTGAGACATCACGCGTTATAGTGATGAAGTTGATGGGCTGGTGGGGCGTTAGCGACTCGCTTGGGTTAGCGACTCACTTGTGAACCACGTTATAGATTAATTAAAATTATTTAACGCACTTATACTATATCATAGTATAATAATATATATACTTCATAAGTTTTACTAACATAATAAAGCTTTTGAGTTAATAGCATAAGTAGTAAGAAAGATATATTATAAAAAAAGTAATATTTTATTTATGAAAAAAAAGCTAATATCAGTTACTTACTACTATTACTACTATTATAACTTACTACTACTATAAAACTCAAAATGGAATTATATA